GGATAACTGATTTTCAAAATGTGAATGATTACAGTCTATGTAAGTCGAATTTCTATAACTATTCTAACTTGAATATTTTTTCATTCTCTATAAATACCTGCTGTTGTAATTCTTTAATTCGATATTCGACATTTCTCTAACTGTGATTTTTCATTAATGCAAGATTCGAGTGCGGACTTAAGATTCTAAATTATCTCATTAATACGAATTTCTATTAATTTCCTTCGGAAAAAAAGCCGATTATCTACCGATGATTGATTATCTGCTCGAGTTTCTTCTTAGCATTAACTATATACATTAACTACCCCATTTTCAGTTTCACTCTCACTGCCTCATTTCACTTCAAATACATGTGTTTAGTTTTCTACAATTTTATCCCTTTTCGGTCCTCTCGTCAGCCGGTGCCGCTTTGTAAACAATTACGATTTGGTTTAAAAACTACACAAACAAATAGAAATTGATATTTAACGAGAAGCGTTTGAAATAGGAAACAGAAATCTTCCATTTCACATCACATCTCTGGCTACCAAATTATCATTTCAATTCCATTTAGTTGCAAACCGTGTTCACATGTTTTTACGTTACTTTTTTTGAATAACCAATTAAATGTTTCTGTTGACAACTCGTTTTTATTCAAATCTCGTAGTTATTTTATTTGTTTCTACTCCTTTGTCGCATTAATTTCGTTAATCACTTTTTACACTTAACATCTGTAAAGTACTTAAGTTCTAAATCTCTTCTATTTAAACGTGTTGTATGCGGGATTACAAACATGTAATTTAATAAATGCATATGTACATAAAGCCTTTTGTATAATATGTTAGTAAATCATAAAGCTACTTACTATGATTACATACACACAATTATTGTTTAGATAGAATTAGCTTAGAAAAATATTAATAAATGAATGAATAATTTCTCAACTGTTAGCCGCAGATTGCAGAAATACGGTAATAAGTGCAATGATATTGGGAATTAAAACGCTAAAAAGGTAGTTTTTTCTTACAATCGCACCGTAATCTGCTTTCTTAATATTAGGTGTATTCTGGTATTGACAAGTTGGGGATTCCAACGATTAATTAAGTGATTGAATTGTTTCATAGGTGAAGTACACTACCGACAACTTCGGTACCAAACTTGGACAGGTTCAGATATGTATGTTAGGCCCGAAGACTGAAAACGCTCAGTGGCCGAAAAAAACGGCCACATCGCGTTCTGGCTGCCTTCGAACGCACAGAACGCGTTTTGGCTGTTTTTAAACGCTCGCAACGCGTTCTGGTAACTGTTAAACAGCCGGAACGTGTTTTGTCAATTGTTGAACGCTCGCAACGCGTTCTTAATGTTCGACTTGTATTATTTGCCGCTTTCTACCTGCGTACAATGAGATTTATATTGTACTTATAAAACAAATGAATTTCAATCCATTTTTCAGTTTTTAGGAAACAATTCAAT